TGCATCTATGTTGATGAAAGATTGTATTTCCAACTGTGAAAATGTTTTTCCTTTCATGTAGAGTACAGCATTAAGAAAAGAAAAACAGCCCAGAGAATACAATACTAACTGCCTGGTTTTAAATAGTGCAGCGAATAATAAAACAAAAAGAATGCTAAATTCTTTCAAGGCCTTGGTGGTGGCACGGACTTCGGTGTTATTCTTTCCCTGCCCTCCCCAGGAGTGCTTTCTGTCGTGGAAATGTTTCTACACTGGGATGTTTCTCTTTGGCTCTCCAATGTAAAAATTCATCACACACAACTTCTCTTACAGGGGATATCTGTTAAGATTGAGGGAAGGGCCTCCCTCAAGTAGAGATGCAGTACCTTGTTGGCTGTGGAATATTTACTAAGGTGAAAGGAGCTGATGTTTGCTTCTCCCATCCCCCCAAATTCACCAGTGCTGTGCTTGGAGCCCCTCGTTTAAGCGAAGCTTAACAGTGGCACTTGGATACCCTGAAAAAATTATTGTGAAAACATCAACAAATGAAGTGACTCATTTGTTTTAAGTCAGAAATATTCATGAGTCCAGGCCGGATGTTGGAGGGCTTGTTATTTTTCACTTAATTTTGTGTGTGTGTTCTTTCCTAAGTAGATCTTTATCAGCTCTGTGGCAGCTAGCGGAAGGAAAAGGAAGGCCTGAAAGCAGGGCTGTTCTTTGCACTACAGGCAGAAGATGGCATAACACAAAATCAAGGGATGCATAAATAAGTACAAAAGGATGAGTCTTATGCTGACAAGGAGGCAGCTTCTGAAGATCTGCCTGAGAATTGCTGGTTTCCTATATGGGTTTGATTGTGTACTGAAAGGCAGAGTCGAACCAGAATGTGTGCGCTAATTGCTGGAGAAATGCTCGTTACTAAAACAGGAGGTTTTGTAAGCACTAAATTGGAGGGGAGCTGGAAAAAGAAGATATTTTTCCTCGTGCCTGGAATTCTGTGCAAGGCTATACGTTCTACAGAAGGCATGCAAGCCAGGCGTGTGCTTCTCCTAAGAGGCAAGGATGTTTTACAAAGGACTAAAGAGGGACTGCTGAGAGGAAAATAGCCAGCTTTAGATAAAGCACTATAACAAAGACTTGTAGTTTTATGTATCATGGTGTCCATTAAAGCTTAATAGGGAAGAGTGCATTGAACCTAGCCAGGCATACGTTTTTCATGTGAAGGATAAACATTGAAGGGGTGTGCAAAATCAGAAATTGGGAGGACATGATTGTTTAGCTTTTGAAAAAGCTTTACGGGGAAGATTTTGTTTTCATCCCCCATGGATCACCACGCAAGGTAGAGGAGAGTAAGCTGCGAATGTTTGGAACATATCAATGCAGGAATCCCAGGGGGTTAAAAGCACTATAGTAAAATAAAAGTGGTCTGCTTTCTAAGTGTGTTCTATTTTACACATACTACTGAGCATCTGAGAAAGGGAGTGATTTTGATACTCTGTTCACCATAGTAAAACAGTATAATAACGAACAAAGTGTGGGGAAGGGAGAGGAAGGAGGGGGGACCCTCTGCTCTGTCACAGTGCGCGTTTTGTGTTTCCAGCTAAATAAACAAACGTAGTCCTACAGAGTTCAAAATGATGGCTGTTAAAATAAAGAATGAATTTGTTTCCACTTTTGGAGGAGAGCCGATCGGAAGCGATGCTTTCCTCTAATTGCTTTCAGCAAGAGAAGGGGTTAACTTTTAAAGAAAAATGAATAATTCAGTGTTGAGCTTATCACTCCACATTTTACTTTCTATTCTTCGGTCATCTGGAACTTGGTGTGAAAGGTAGAGTAAAAGGAGTCAGCTGAGGGGAGCCGGGGTTGTGATAATTTGCACACACATCCCTGTCATTGTTCTGCCTGAAGAGACAGGGCTGGGTTCAAGGCCACATGTGCTCCTGTCATCATTCACATTTCTGCTCCAAGTGCAATCCAGAGTGTCAGCTCTCCATCTGTCTTTGCCTGGCAAACGCACGCGCCCAGCATCCTGCCTCCAGCAACGCTGCCACAGCCAGCTCCGATGGCCCCGCTCGCGTCTCCCCTCTCATTCCAGAACAGGAGGCACTGAGCCCGAAATAAGCCTGCTTTGAGGAGAGAGCCATTTACAGGGTGGTATATTTTATCCGAGAATGCCTGGTGAGTTAAAATTATCGCAGCTCTTTTGCTTGTAAATGAGGAAACGCTAATTGTTTTTTGATAGTTGTTTTTTCTTTTTTTTTTTTTTTTTTTTTTTAATATAGATGGTGATTTGCAAGCTGATACGGGGATGGAGTGCTTGGGGGATGCTAATTCTGTTGTGTGTGCATTTGGGGGAGGGGAATGCGAGCGAGGAAACTGCCCAAGATGCTACTTGCAGCAGGACTGGGTGGTTCGGTGCAAAGGGATGGAAATAGCAGAAAGTGGCCGTGTCCGGGGGTGTGGGTCGCTGCATGGGGGGTCGTTTTAGTCAGGAGAAGGGCAGCTTCAGGTTGGCTTTAGGGACTGTCAGCTGCACCTCAGGTCTGGGGATATTATATCGGGGAAGGTCAGTCGCAGCTGAAGTGATCTCCTTGAAAAGCTGTTTGTGTCGGAGGGGTGAGGGAGATTTATAAATCGAATTCTTGCGGCATTGTCCTAAATTGCAGCGCTTAACTGTCACCGGGCAGATTGCTGAAATATGTTAATGCAAAATAAAACAATGAAAAAAATCTGCTGAATGAGAGAAATCGCCGTGGTGCTGGAAATTTTAATAGATTGGTTTCCTCGGGAAAATATTTTCCTTGGATCTTAGAATCACTTGTTTTCCTCGTCAGTAGCACTTATCAATTAGACATCGCTTCTCCGTGGGGTGATTTATCTGAGGGGTTTGCGCGAGGATCGACCGCAGCAGAGGGGTTGAATCTGGTGTGTGCTGTTTGTTTATTCCTTTCGGTAAGGACTGGGCAGAGACATGTGCCTGATTACAACAGCCTGTGTCTCGATAAAAAAAGACAGCGCCGAGCCTACAGCTGGCTGGTTCGTGTGGATTATTTGGGTAGGACAGGCAGAAGAGGCTATGCTTGATCACAGGGAGTCTGTGCACCTCGCAGATGGTGTTTTGAAACAGTATCTGCCAGTTTGCTGCAACCGCAGTTGCATGTAGGTATTGCCAGTTGTTGGAGGAATGTTTTCCTTTTAGGATTTTTCTACGTGGTCGTACCCCACTGCTGGTATGTTTGCTGATCCCCTGGTTGCAACAAGGAAGTGGGCACTGTTTGCTCAAAGCACAGGGCTAAGAGGATTTATATGGTTGAAATATGGGCAAATTAATTTGCATAGATAACAACTGAGGACTACGAAAGGTCAATTTAACCCTTTAAACCTAAAATTTGATTTGCATGCATTATGTTCCTTGGAATGCGGTCTTCATTAGAAATATCACGGTAATTCATTAATTTGGAAAACTGTGTTCTGCCTAATGTGGCTCTCCTGACGTTTTCCTTGTATTTGTTTGAGACTCTTCTTCTTGTGTGGTTTTCTAAATCTGTGCTTCATTAAGATATTTAATTGTACTGAAGTGACACCATCCCATCAGTTTTGATCCTAGTGTCTATCATTTGGGGTATTAGCAAACAGCATTGGAATTCCAAGAGCAGAGGTTTTTGAGAAACCTATTAAGCCTTTGGCATTCAAATTCCTTAATCTACCTGCTGGTTAAAATTTCATGTATCTTTAATCAAAATGGCACGCGCTGCACTGGAGTATGTGTGCCCTTATCGATGCTTGTGAAGCTTTACCACTGAATAGACGTTTAATTTCCAGCATTCCCTCAGAGCAATAGCAAGCAAGAAGTGTGTTTTAATGTCAGCTCCGAGTGTTAGAAAACCTTGCACTTGGATACAGAGAATACACTAACAGCTGTGACTGGGAGCATGTGCCAGAATGGAGATACTTGAACAGATCTGACACTTGGCTATTTTTGACACCCATCTGCACTTTTTTACTCTCCTCTAGGATGAGCTGCCTCTCAATCTGTTCGCAGCATATTTTAGCCCTTTAATATTGTGGTGTTGGGTTTTTTCAAATGGGCATTATTAGCCATCTGGGGCAGATTTTGTATTTTAAAAGTAAGCACATTATGTACAGAAGATTAAAAGGATGTGTATTTTTATGTAATCTGATATTATGTCAGTGCCTTTTGTGTGTGTATGAAGTCTTGATTTCAGAAGCATCCCTTCACAGTAGTTCTGACATCCAAAGCCCTCCTTATTTTGGAGAAAGAACAGGAAGTAATAAAAGCAGGCTCTGGTTTATGTGTAGCGATAACACTTCTACACGGAATACATTTGCTCTTCAAAGGCCAACCCTTCGTACTGCTGTTACGGTGACTGGCTGCTCACCTTCTCACTAACCCGCCACCGAAAGCCGGGGCAGAAAGGCTTGCTAATGAAACACTGTAAAAGCCATTGAGATCTCTGCTAAGGCATTGCTGCCAGAAAAGTCCATTGGAAGCTAATCCTGTTAACAGGAAGCTCCGGTAACCGAGTTAACCGTGCCGTCCTTGTGTTCGGGGGCTCGAGGAACTGCTTATCTCTAAATAATTGACGTTGGAGAAACAGTGTTCAAATCGAATCCCGTATCCCGGTTTGTTTGATTGCTGTGTTTTCTTTTTTTAAATATACGTATCACTGTTTATTCCGGACTTTATTTATGAAACATTACAAATCTATCAGTCATTTTATAGGACTTTCAAAGAACAGATGTTGGCCTACAAAATGCTTTATTATTGCCCATGGCAGTGTTCAGCATGGTTTCCTTAAAAGGACAATCAGTGATCACAGTCATTGTAGCCCAGAAATAATGCTGTTCTTTCAGAAGATGGCCTGGTATTAGGTCAGACCACCCTTTCTTTACTTCTGCTCTCCAGATGTGGCTGCTACTTTTTTTTTTTTTTTTTTAAGTTCGTGTTTCAAAAAAAAAAAAAAGGGGTTTGTTTTCAAAATCTGGTTTTACTTAAGATATCTCCATCCTGGAGTGCATTTCATAAATTGCCCACATATTTTTCTTAGCAGAGAACTTAACTGGCTGTAATTTTTAACACATGGCCACATCATGTGATATTTTCAAAACATTTGCACATAGCTTTAAGAAGGTCCCAGCAGAAATGATCCATCATCTCACAGCCAGCCTGTTTCTTAACAGCATATCTGCATTTTCCATTTAGCAGAGCTATATATTATTAGCTTACATTTTGGGTAGTAAAACAGTGCATTGCTGATTGTAAAACATGAACTTTATTATCTGCTGAAAATTGATTTGGCATTTATAGCCACTGTGTACTAGACTGGCTTTCTGGTTTTAACATTAGTGCTTGCAAGTGATGATTTGTTTAAAGAACAGAAACAAAATTGCCATGGACATAACTGTGAGTGTCCTAGTAACTGAACATTTGGATTATCCACCTGTTTTTTAAATACATGCTTCTAAATGCTATTATACAGCAAAAGTCTCCTAACAGTCCATTAACCGACTTGTTCAGTTTTAAGTTGCAGTTGCTATGCTGTTCTATTAGGACAATTCTGTGTCTTATAAAACAAGTTTCCTGCCAAACAGGGAAAACGTGTCTGGAAATACTTAAGTCTGAGTATTAACCTTGCATCATTATTCCAATCATCCTACATAATGTCTTTATCTTCTTTAGGATTCCGATAGCAGCGAAAAACTCCTTCCTTTGGAGGACTGCGGGTCATGAGGTGCAGGTTTCAGGACACAGCATTATAATGACCGCTTTTCAAAGTATTAAAGTTTCTTTTTTTTCTTTCTGGTAGCAATAAATTCCAACGTCTGCATGGCACTATTGCACTTATTTCAACCCAAGGGGCTGTGAACCACATTTGCTGCATTATGTGTGGAAAGTAACGAATGTGTTGTGGGATGCAGATCATACTGCTGAAAGAGCATTCATAGATATATTTTTAAGCGGCGTCCCAAATGGTCTTTTTCCATGAAGATTTAGTGATTCTAAGCTGAGACCCTTACTTAGCTGGTCTTTCCTTGGTGTGTGCACAGCTTATAGTGACAACCACATCTTGGTTTGAGGACTTTAGACTACATAGTAGTACGTATCTGCCAATTAAGGCGTAGTCATCATAGCTTGCTAATCAATGTGATCTGTATATATGCATTTTTTTTAATTAATAAAAGACTTGAATACCAGTTTGGGGTAAAATAAATTCTAAAATGATGTGATGTGCACATTTGAAATAAATGCAGAAGCTGATTCATGTAAGACTACAAGGGGATATGATATGTGGCCATTACGAGAGCATTACATATGCTTGTACCAGTTCTCTGGTTGGTTTGCTGCATCCTTTTGTTGTCAAACTATACTCACAAAATCAGCTGCAGTTTGGTCTTTTACTACCAGATCAGACTAAGGCTAAGTGCAAAAGAGGACTTCTGCACTTGAAGCAGTAGTTAAGTTCCAAAAGTAAAGTTGCATATGCAGAGTTACAATGCCTTTGGACTACTCAACTCTCTCCTAATCCCAGCTGCATAGCTGTTGCAGCTCTGAAGCTTCCCAAGCACAGAGAACTGCATCTGTGCCTACTAAGATCTGTCTCAGTGCTGTAGGGTTAAGCAGAGCCGAGTTCATGCCTGTGTCTTGCTGCAATGGAAGCATTTCTATATCTGGGTTGTTTGAACAGTTGGATCTGGTAGGTAATCTGGGAGAATGTCCAATGCCTATTTAGAAACACTGGTCGCTACACAAGTGCAGGCTTATTTTCTGTTCCCAGAAAAGGGCGTGGTGTCAAATGAAGCACAGGGTTGAGTGATGCTGGGGCAAGTAGAGATTCAGTTGGGAAATCCGTAGGCCCAGCAGCACTTGGATCTTCTCTTAAAGAACTCAGACACAGGTTTGCCATATTGGGCCTCTTGGTGAGGACAGTCTCATTCAGCATAGTGCCGTATCACTACATTTATACATGGTTAATCCATGAGGCTGGTGGAGCCCTTGCTGTGCTGAGCAATGCTATGTGTTCATTGGCTCAGCTCTCCACAAGCTCAGCTGTCTGCACTGTGTTGCATTCTGCGATGTGTGGGACTAGATAGAGATTATTCCCATCCCAGAGATCCTGCTCCTGGCTGGTAGCTTTCTCCTGCCAAGGAGCACACTATAGGCCTAAACTTGTGCGAGCAGAAGGAAGATTTGAATTTATGGCTTTTACTTCTAGAGTGAGGTTTCCAGTCAAAAGGCAGCTGAACTAAATCAGAAATCATCTTTTTCATCTCTTAAACCAGTTCTACTTGCCATCCTGCTAATGGTGAGGATATGAACATCTCTCTAGAGGAGGGAATAGAGCTGTGGGTCCCGCGTCTCCAAATTATTGAGGCTCATGAAATGCAGGAGTAAGGCATCCTAGCCCCCAGGATCTCCCTGTTAGTGAGATGGGGGCAGCTGCTGGTCGAATGTAACTGACTAGTTATTGTCCATCTCGTGAGCTGTCACAGCTATCTGATGGGAAGATGGAGAAATGGATGAAGTCAGACTGTTAGAGGTTTGCAGAGAAAGGATGAGAAGCAACTAGCATAAGGAACAGGCCATGATAAAATCCAAAGCAGATACCAAGATATGAAGATGGTTGGACATTGAAAGAGGCTCTCCAGAGAGGTGCTGGTATTTCCGTTACTGCAGCCGTTGAAAATTCTATTGGCATCTGATCCTCTGGGCAGAGGGCTCAGACTTGCTGCTCTCCTGAGACCCTTCAGCCTGTGTGTTACCCTCTGCTACTGCCGGGCATTTCCCTTCAGCTGCTTTGGAAATGCAGCCTGAGGTACTTGTCCCTTTGCAGTATAGGGAAGGGCTCTGGTGTCAGTTTTGTTCTGTTTTGGGAGGAAATTTCAGCATTATTCAGCTTCTGGGCAGCAACAGTGAATTATTTATCAAGCCAATTCCTACATCATCACTTGGTCTGTAGCTTGCAGAGTAAATTTTGCCTTGTGTACTGCTGGAGAGCCAGGCTGTTGGGCACAATGTGGGCTAACAGGGTGAACCTCCTTACCCCCATGTATTTTGTGGAGCTGTGTTTGCACAGAGTAGAGCTGGATTTATTTCCCAGTCCTGTGTTTTTTTTTTCTTTTTTTAAATTTTCTATTTTTTCCCCCCCAGCAATTTATTTTCTATCACCAGTTAGTGGTTTTGTATGGAGCAGCAGCCTAACTATGAGCACTAATTGCAGAAAAACTTGGTAGAAAATGATAGAAACCTTGGGATCTGAGAAGGGTCTATGGCCAGCAGTGCAGTTCCCAGGAAGTCACCTCTTGGGTCTGTCCTGGCGGCACAAAGCACCTGGCAGTGATGTTCTTGCAGCTGGCTTAGGGCTGCAGTGTCCACAGAGACGCTGAGCAGATCCAGCTTCTAAAAATCTCTGCCCAAATTCCTATGGCATGAAGCTACAGTCTTGCTTGAGCTTTTCCATGATGTTGCGTAACGTGTTGTGTATTTACTTCTTAAAAATAACTTAATTTTCTTGGTCTTGGATCTGGCAATCTTGTAATATTTTCACGAGGAATGGTAGTACCCACACATCCACATTAATTTAAATGATCCAGCTATTTCAGTATTAATGTGGATATATGTTCTGGACCAGTGTCTGTAACTTTAATCTCCCTTTAAATGGGTACAAAGCCTTAACTCAAAGGTGGCAGGAAATCTTTCTGAAGTTCAAAAGGAAATGTCGTAAGCAGTGGATGCAGTTATTAAGATCACTGCTCATATGGTTCTCATTCATTATGGACGTGGAAGCAGGCTGTAACGAGCTCTGCAGCAGTTTTGCATATTGACAATACCGAGCTGACAAAGACTGAAAGAGCTGTTGCAACAGAACAGTGAGGGGAATCAGCATTGATCAAGTCTGGGAGGAAAGGCTGAGGAATAAGGAAGAAAAATGTATTTTGGTAACCCTTGGAGTGTGCTGTAAGTTCATGCAGATTTGGTATAGGGTCAGGACTCTATCGTTCTCGGTTAAGAAAGGGGCTTTGCTTTAATGAATTGAGATTTGAGGAAGTGGGATTTGCATATTTTTACTGCTTTCCAGTGAGGTTTGAAATGATGATTCAAGAAGACGGAATGTGTTTTAGCTTTTGAAGTCCATTGCCCTTTTCATCTTACTGGTACATATTTTCTCTTTTACAGGTTAATGCAGTATTCTGTTACTTGCAAGCCATTCCCAAAGCATGTCTATGATTTAACTTTGTACCCTTTCAGTTCTAACGCTTTATTGGACTTCTCTACTTGCTTGTAGCCCACTTCTCCAACCTCACCTTTGCAGTTCAAGTGCAGGTTATTATAGTCCCTCCTTGTCTTTGATTCTCTTCCTGATGCTGGTTCTACTGTCTTATCCTGCTCCTGTTAAAGAAGTGAGATCCAGGATTAGTGACCCTCCTTAGAGGATCATAGAGGGCCTTCCTCCTCCCTTCATTCCGGGCTTCTCAGTATGTTGTTCTGTGACTCACTGGAACACCCATGACTCAAAAATAGTCTTTCTGCCACAAGACTATAGTTCGGGAAATGTGCACACACTTATATCATACAAAAATTCAGCCATGATTTGATTTTTGCTGCTAAACTGTGCATTTTGGTGACACTTTCAAGCCAGAGCAGTAAACATATATATATCATCTTGGATTATCATTTTAGCTGCTTTATAATCCATATGACTTCCATTTCCTTTGACTTCCTTTCGTATGATTTCCTAGCTTCACTCCTTGAATTTTTAAGAGAATCTTACTTTAAAGGATTTTGTGCCTTCGAGAGCACCAGACACATTATTTGTGGTTAGCAAATACAAATTAACATTTATTGTTTTAATTTTATTTTTCCAGTCCATTTCACCACATAATTGTTGATTGCATAATTATATCTGCTAACTTTGCATGCAGTTGTTTGTGTTCTAGTTAGGAGAAAGTTTACTAACCAAAGTTTCAAAGAGATCATTTTCTGTGGATGGTGTTGCTGTTTCTCCCAGCTATTTTCTTTGCTTGGAACTGTACAAGTACACTGGTTTTGACTTCTTAAACTATGTACAAGAAGATCTTTCATAAACAGGGAATGCTGTAATTCCATTCTTCTGAGAAGGAATCCAAAACTTAGCAGCTTTGAGGGTACACCCTGAGAAATACTGATAAGGACTTGGAGGGTTAGTAATACAGTAAAGAAGGCTGAAAGGTGCTTGTGAAAGGAACTTTGATTGTGTCTGCAAAACAAAGGGCATAATTAGAATGTCCACCAAGGTCAAATGATGCTGGCATTGAATAATTGTGCAATCCCTGCAACAGTTTATCCTGTCTTTAGACTTGGTGTTTTTAATTCTCTGCTGGTAGAGAGAGGAGAGTAATAAAACTTGGTTTGTAGAATTCATGTGGCCCATATTGACTCCTGTCATTCTTCCACTGAGCAGTAGGAAGTCCTCCTTGCAGGGTTCTGAAAAAAGTAGCTTCTCCAAATCTCATTCATGCTAGTTCTTGGCAGTACTTATTTTACAGTAAAATCACTAGTAGATTGCATTGCATCTTCAGGAACAAAAGCAAAGTCCTTTGGATTATTATTTTTTTTTAAATCTATAAGTATTTTTCACTTCCTATTAATAACTGAGACCATTTTTGTTTTAAACTTAGAAATGGAGAAGCAAGACTTCTCTGCAGATGCTGTTAGTATTCTGATCTCTGTTAAAATGAAAAGTATACTGAAGAATGCTTCTCTTGTTTTGTTAATTTACTGACATCTCTCTTTTTGTTATTCTCTGTGCTTGTAAAAGCAAATTTGTATTTGTGTTTTCTATATTTAATAAGCACGGCTGTTGTGCAGGTGATGGATCTGAGCATGAAACTTCCACTGAGAGCCTGGTATGAGAGCAGAGTCCTTGGGACACATGTAGCAACTCCTCTGCTTTCCAAAGGGTAGTTCAGTGGCACCATTGTTCCTTGTGCTCTGCAGACTGCCTGGGCCTGACAGAGCCACGTCCTGTGCCATAAGCTCTAGGTTTGCATGTCGTCTTCATCCTCTGACATGTAAATTGTTTGAGCAATAATTCCCGATTCCTTTCATTTTGAGGAAGGAAAGCAGTGATACTTGATCTTCAGAGGGCGATAGAAGCAGGATTTTTTTAGTTTATGCTTCCTTTAAGTTTTTGCTTCATACCACTCTTCGGAGTCTGTAAAAGCTCTAAAGTTAAAAATGGTACCTGCATATCAGATACTGACCAGCATTCCTTCTCAGAGCCACAGGAGAAATGATGTCCTCTCTCCTTAGTTAACTTTTATGTTCCTTCAGGAAGAGCTTTGTGGGTGTTGCTGAATAACTCACTTTTTCTTGAAGGAATACAGAAAAGCATGATGCCTTGATTTCATCCCGACAGCAGCAAACATGATTGCACAGTTCTGTCTGGGGCACTGGTTCAAGGCAGTCTTGAAAGAATGAACGCCTATTACTTAATCACCAGGAATGCTTAATAGTTTTGTCACAAGTGTTTTTCTTTTTGGAGGCTGTAAGTGTTTTTGCTGTCTTGCCACGCCAGATACAGAAGACGTGCCGTGATGAATTACCCAATGGGGATTCTGCTGCAGAAATTGATGCTTGCTAAAACAAAATCAAAGCCTTCTTTTGTCTCCTTTGGTCATTACAGTAAGCTGCTGGATTTTAAACATGTCTGCTTCTAAGGATGGGATATGCACTCATCATTGTGTGCAACTGCTGGCTTTTGAAAGGCTTTTTGCTATAAAATAATATGATTATGCAGATGTTCCGATACTGTTCTTTAAAACAGTTGATTGCCGATCTGATCATGAAAGATGATCAGCAGCTAGCATTTATCATCATCTTCAGATCCAAACAGGTTCCTTTGGGAGTCAGCTGTACTGTTTCAGTATGTTGTAATTAAATTGAGTGCTGTTTAGGTGTCAGAAATTACTTTATAATGCAGGATAATGGTCTTAAATAGACTTATTTGCAGAGTGCAAATCATAATCTAGGAAGTTTCCCTTCAAAGCTATATATTAAAAAAGAAAACAAGCACCCCAATTTCAGCAGGAAGAGAAAAAAATAATTAACAAAAAAAGGTTGATTTCTGACCCAGGCCCTAAACATCCTTGCACTAGAGTTAGTCTGGACTTTATATACATTAGAATAATGCGTTATTTGTGAATTTTGCTTGTAAAGTGCTTTGTTTGAAATACTAGTAAAGAAAAAAGATATGTATTGTTTTGTTTCTGTTTGGGATTAGGTGGGTATCAGTCAGTCCTTTAGTATTTGGAAAAACTCCTATATGTGTAGCAGGTATTCAGGTGCCTGGCTCTTGAGAGCTTTCAAGCAACATTAATTCCCAGAAAAGTTTGTGAGAGTTGTGAGTACTCGGCATTTTGCAGAATTAGACTAATGAGAAGAATGAGAAGGGTAATGTTGCTAGGAAAATAATGGATTTATATGCATAGTGAGAGCTGTTTGTAAATCAGCAGGTGGTTTCTAAAATATCAGAAATTAGCAAAGTGTTTACTGATGTGATTTCTTTCAGAAAAACAAACATGTTTAAAAACACTTGAATGCTAAAACTTCAAATGAGAAAAGCTGATTTTCATTTTGTCAGCCATCTTTTTGCATGTAGTTTGACTGCTCATATTTTTCAAGCTTTCTTTAACAGAGAATCGTACACACAGGTCCAAGTATTTCTTGGATAAAAAAAAGTCACACAATGTCAGGTGTCTAGTAAAAAAAAAAATAAAATAAAACAAAAATCCAATTTAAAGATTAAGAAATAATTTGCATAATGTGTCAAGTTCC